TTTTTCCATTTTTTGTTCAGATAGAGTGGGAGGGAGAGAGAGAAAGAGAAACATCGATGTGAAAGGGACACATCGAATGGCTGCCACCCACACGACCAACTGAGGCCAGGGACAAACTGCAACTGAGGTACGTGCCCTTAGTGGGAACTGAACCCAGGTCTCTCTGGACCTCAGGCCGATGCTCTAACCACTGAGCCAAACCGACCAGGGAATCCTCTGCCCATTTTTTAATTGGGTTCTTTGTCTTCCTTTTGTTGAGGTGTATGAGCACAATTTGTATTTTGGAAATTAATCCCTTATCTGATGTATCATTGGCGATGATGCTCTCCCATACAGTGGGTTGCCTTTCCATTTTGATGATTGTATCTTTTGCTGTGCAGAAGCTTTTGAGTTTGATGTAGTCCCATGTGTTCATTTTCTTCTTTGTTTCTGTTGCCTTAGGGGATGTAGCAGTGAAAATTCTGCTGCGTATGATGTCTGAAATTTTGTTGCCTACATTTTCTTTTAGGATTTTTATGGATTCATGAGTCCCATTTAAGTCTTTTATCCATTTTGAGTTTATTCTTGTGTATGGTGTAAGTTGATGGTCTACTTACTTTCTTTCTTTTTTCTTTTTTTTGCATGTAGTTGTGCAATTTTCCCAACACCATTTATTACAGAGGCTGTCTTTACTCCATTTTATTGCTCTTGCCACCTTTGTTGACTATTAATTGAACATAATATTTTGGGTCAATTTCTGGGTTCTTTGTTCTGTTCCATTGATTTCTGTGCCTGTTCTTGTGCCAGTACCAGGCTGTTTTTATTACAGTGGCTTTGTAGTATAACCTGAAATCTGGTAATGTGATCCCTCCAACTTTGTTCTTCTGGGTTTTTTTTACCGTCACCTGAGGACATTTTTCCATTTTTTGTTCAGATAGAGTTGGGGGTGGGGGGAGAGAGAGAGAGAAACATCGACGTGAAAGGGACACATGGAGTGGCTGCCACCCGCACAACCCAACCAGGGCCAGGGACAAATTGCAACCAAGGTATGCGCCCTTAGCGGGAACCAAACCTGGGTCTCTCTGGACCACAGACCAACGCTTTAACCACTGAGCAAAACTGGTCAGGGCGGTCCTTCTTTTTCAAGATTGTTGTGGCTATTCGGGGTCTTTTTCAGTTCCATATGAACTTTTGAAGTATTTGGTTCCATATGAACTGTGAAGTATGTCGTTGGTATTTTGATGGGGATTGCGTTGAATCTATAGATAGCTTTGGGTAGTATGGACATTTTAATGATGTTGATTCTTCCAATCCATGAACAAGGTATGTGCTTCCACTTTTTTATATCTTCTTCTATTTCTTTTTTCAATGTTTTGTAGTTTTCTGCAAATAGGTCCTTTACTTCTTTGGTTGAGTTTATTCCTAGGTATCTTAATTTTTTTGCCATGTTGGTAAATGGGATTGTGTTTTCAGTTTCTCTTTCTGTGAGTTCATCATTAGTATATAAGAATGCCATCGATTTCTTGACATTAATTTTGTATCCTGCTACTTTGCCAAATTCATTTATTAATTCTAGTAGATTTTTGATAGAGTCTTTAGGGTTTTCTATGTACAATGTCATGTCATCTGCGAATGACAGTTTCACTTTCTCCTTTCCAATTTGGATCCCTTTTATTTTTTCTTCATGTCTGATTGCTGTGGCTAAGAGTTCCAGTACTATATTAAATAGGAGTGGCGAAAGTGGGCATCCCTGTCTTGTTTTTGTTCTTAAGAGAAATGCTTTTAGTTTCTGCCCATTGAGTATGATGTTGGCTGTAGGTCTTTCATATATGGCCTTTATTATGTTGAGATATGATCCCTCCAATCCTACATTGCTGAGCATTTTTATCAGAAATGGATGCTGGATTTTGTCGAATACTTTTTCAGCATCTATTGATATGATCATGTGGTTTTTATCTTTCATTTTGTTTATGTGGTGTATCACATTTATTGACTTGTGAATATTGTACCAGCCTGCATCCCTGGGATGAATTCCACTTGGTCAACAACACTATTTTAAAGATGAACAGCAATATATGTGTGTATGTGTGTGTGTGTGTGTATATATATATATATGTATATATATAGTTATAAATTTTATATATATGTATATATATGTGTATATGTATATGTATATATGTATATATATCAATGCGATCTGATGACTCACTTAAAACTATACTGAGATACGCCCTGGCTGGTTTGGCTCAGTGGTTGGAGCATCGGCCTGTGGTCCGGAGAGACCTGGGTTCGGTTCCTGCTGGGGGCACGTGCCTCGGTTGCTGTTTGTCCCGGGCCCTGGTTGGGTTGTGCGGGTGGCAGCTGCTCAATGTGTCCCTTTCACGTCGATGTTTCTCTCTCTCTCTCTCCCCCTCCCACTCTGCCTGAACAAAAAGTGGAAAAATGTCCTCAGGTGAGGATAAAAAGAAAAAAATTATACTGAGATACAATTGTCTTGATTTTCCCTTATTATAGAACTTATCAAATAGACATAGTGAATAATGTTTAAGTATATTTTCATAAATTTATATGGAAGGTTATTTAACAGCTCAGTTTGTTTCAAAAATTAATATTATTAAGGGTTGATTTAAGGTTAATATTATTTAAGGCTAGCCTGGCCAGTGTGGCTCAGTGGTTGAGCATCAATCTATGTACCAAGAGGTTTGATTACCAGTCAGGGCACATGCCCAGGTTGTGGGCCAGATCCCCAGTGGGGAGCATGCAGGAGGCAGCCAGTCCATGTTCTCTCTCATCAATGTTTCTATCGCTCTCTCTTCCTCTCCCTTCCTCTCTCTCTGCAATCAATAAAGAAAAAAAAAAATTTTTAAGGGATATTTTATTTATTTATTTTTTTATCCTCACCTGAGGACTTTTTTTCCATTTTTTGTTCAGCTAGAGTGGGAAGGAGAGAGAGGAAAAGAGAGAGAGAGAAACATCGACGTGAAAGGGACACATCGACCCAACCAGGGCTGGGGACAAACTGCAACCGAGGTATGTGCCCTTAGCGGGAACCGAACCCGGGCCTCTCTGGACCACAGGCCGACGCTCTAACTGCTGAGCCAAACCAGCCAGGGCATGAAAAAAATTTTTTTTAAATTATTTAAGGCTAGGTCATATATCTGATATGAGGAATCAATTGGTGCATGTTTTGACTTTCTGTTCTTTTGATACAATGAAAAGGAGCTTATTTATGTGTTGTCCAAGAGTTATTTGATATCCACTAAAGAGGCAGAATATTATAGTAGAAAGGTCTGGGATGGAAGATAGATAGATACCTGGATCTAATCCCAGATTGATAGATATTAACTATGTGAACTTGGATATATCACTTGCTAGTGGGTGTGATTTTGGGAAAATTACTTAATCCAATTCTTAATTTTCTCCTGTGTCAAAGTACAGTTAATAATAAATACTTTGATAGACTATTTAAAGGAATAACTAACACAGGTATATTGCCTGATACAGAATTTCTATTTCCTTTTCTTGGGCAAGGTTAGTTACATCTTTGGCTTTAGTTTCCTAAATCTACAATAATACTAATAGCATTCACTGTGTACCAGCCACTGTTCTCAGTGTGTTACATGGATATATTAATTTACAACAACCTTATGAGGTAGACACAGAGAGGTTAAACAATTTGTCTATGATTACTCAGCTAAGAAACGGGGAAGCCTTGATTTGAAACTCAGCAGCTGATTTTTAACCAAACTCGTTGTTTTAACATGTACCTATGTTTTTAACCACTACTATGAACTGCCTTTCTAAAGGAAGGAGTTGTAGGCTGTATCATTTGTTCTTTGCATGTTATGCTGCATGATAAACACTCATAGAACCTCAGGGGTATAGAACAGTACACGTTTATTGATCACATGTTGAAATGTGTGTTAGGCAACTCTGTTGATGTTGGCTTGGCTCCCTCACATGGCTGGGGGTCAGCTTGCTGCAAAGTTTGGCTGGCTCTGCAGTTTGCTCCTGTTGGGAAGTTTGCTCCTGTTCCATGTGTCTCTAATTCTGCAGCAAGCAGACTAATGTAGGAATATTTTCATGGTGAATGATAGAGGCACATCTGCTGTAGGAAATAATATGGCTGACCCCCAAGTCAAAGCATTATAAAGTTACAAAGGCAGTGGACTTGACACATTGAGGTTGTTTTGTAATATACTACAAATGCCAAAGCCTAGGGTTCCAATATTCTTGCATATTAAGGAAGAATTCTAAAAGTTGACCTCTATCAAAAATAGCATTTCTGACAATTTAATAGAAAACATGCAAGTGTGCATAGACATACACACACAGATACCCATACATTTATAGAAAGTATGCAGAATTTTTTCCAGGAATACTTAAAATCAGTCAGTAGTCCCAAGGTAGTGGTCGTGGTGATGATGATAGCTAACCTTAATGAGCTTACTATGTGACAGCACTGTTCTCAGCACTTTAAATATAGTAACGTCCTTAATCTTTACAACAGCCCTATTAAATAAATACTATTAGTAGTCTCCATATTACAGATGATGAAACTGAGAGGTTTAGTAGTTCCCTAGGTTCACAGTTTGTTTTTTTGTAAAATTTCCACATTAAGTAACTTTCAAAAATTTCTTTCTTTTTTTTAAATCCTCTCCTGAGGACATTTTTCCATTTTTTGTTCAGATAGAGTGGGAGGGAGAGAGAGGAAGAGAGAGAGAGAAAAACATTGATGTGAAAGGGACACATCGAGTGGCTGCCACCCGCACGACCAACCAGGGCCGGGGACAAACTGCAACCAAGGTACTTGCCCTTAGCGGGAATCAAACCCGGGTCTCTCGGGACCACAGGCTGACACTCTAACCGCTGAGCCAAACCGGCCAGGGCTCTTTCTTTTTTTAATTTTTATTTTTATTGAATTATTTCCAGACCTCTTTGCCATGGATTTGAAGAGGTACATACACATTTCTTGGTATTTTGAGATGATTACCTGAATACACTGTTGTTTTATTCAACAGATGGGTTTTCAGAAAAGACAAATGAATGGAGCTCAGAAGAGGAGGAGCCAGTGAAAAAGGCAGGACCAGTCCAAGTCCTTGTTGTCAAAGATCACCATTCCTTTGAGTTAGATGAAACAGCACTAAATCGAATCCTTCTCTCAGAGGCCGTCAGAGACAAGGAGGTTGTTGTTGTATCTGTTGCTGGAGCATTTAGAAAAGGAAAATCATTTCTAATGGACTTCATGTTGAGATACATGTACAATCAGGTAAGTAAGAGTTGTTTTTTTTTTTTTTTAAGTTTTCTGTTTCTGGTCTTCTGTCACTTTGTGTTTTTATTTAGTAGTGTCCATTATTTCCATTTCTATTATTATGTATCCTAAATATGCACTCGTTTAAAAATGCTGTGATGTAATCATTTCAACTTTGGTGCTTTGGGCACCAATCTACACAGGCCACTTTTGTCTGAAGCCACTCCACTCCACTTTGCTTAGAACATAACATTTTTACTCTTTTAAAAATAGGTACCTTGCCCTGGCCGGTTTGGCTCAGCAGTTAGAGCATTGGCCTGCGGTCCAGAGAGACCCGGGTTCAGTTCCTGCTAAGGGCGCGTACCTCGGTTGCAGTTTGTCCCCAGCCCTGGTTGAGCCATGTGGGTGGCAGCCACTTGATGTGTCCCTTTCACGTCGATGTTTCTCTTTCTCCCTCCCACTCTATCTGAACAAAAAATGGAAAAATGTCCTCGGGTGAGGATAAAAAAAAAAAAATAGGTATCGCATAGTAATATGGTTATAAACTTTACATGTTATATGGTTTAAAATGTCAAATAACTTTTGTCATAACTTATTTATTGTAATCATTTCCCCAAACATTTTTTTTTTATCCTCACCTGAGGACATTTTTGCATTCATCTTCAGATAGAACTGGAGGAAGAGAGAGACAAAGAGAGAGAAAGAAACATCGTTGAGAGAGAGACACATCGACTGGTTGCCACCCACACAACCCCAACTGGGGCCGGGGACAAACTGCAACCGAGGTATGCACCCTTAACGGGAACTGGACCTGGGACTCTCTGGTCCATGAGCCGACACTCTAACCGGCCTGAGCCAAACCGGCCAGGGCTCCCCCAACATTTATTATGACATTTTTTCAAGCATGCTGCAAAGTTAAAAGAATTTTACAGTGAACATCTGGGTATCCACTACCAAGATTCTACTATTAACATTAGTATTCTTGCTTTATCACATGTTTCTCCAACTATTCTTTCCATCCATCACTTCATCTTATTTCATTGATTCTTGTCAAAGTAAATGGCCAATATCAATATACTTCCCCATAAACATTCTCAATATACATCATTATTATGGATTTCAGTATTTATTTTTTCTTTTGTTGTAAAATTTACATAGTTACATGCACAAATCTCAAGAGTATATTTGTTTATTTTTTTGAAAATGCATATACCTCTGTAGCCCCAAATTCTCTCAAGTATATCTTGCCTTAACCCTAGATAGTTCTCTTATCTTTTCCCACTCTTTTTTCACCCTTACCCCACCCCCAGAGGCAACCAGCAGTGTCAGAACATTTGCAACAGGAGCATGGCACAGAAATGAGACTTTAAGGAACCCAGGATAAACCAAAAGCAGAGGGATAAATAGGAGATTAGAGCTGAGAAACAGAGAGTTGGGAGGGGAGAGCATAATAGTATTTTTTCTACCCTTTTACCCATAGCAATTCTGATGCAAATATGAATTTTGAGGCAGAATAGACACACTACCCAAAGAAACTCTGTACTATATGTATTTATACCATAATTCCATTTTGAGTTGATCATTTATAATTGGGTTATTTTTGAACAATTTTGTAATGTTAACTTTAACATCTTGTATCTTTAGTGTCAGTTTGAACAAATCAAGAACAAAACTGCTAAAACACTCAGGCTTTGAAAGAAGCAAAACTCTTATCATTCTGTATTTCTAACATACCAACATTAATGTGCTACTTAACACAGATGGGAAAATTGAATGAACAAAATTAGTATACTTTATATTCTTTGGGATTATATAATTTTAGGCATATTCATCGTTTTAACTGTTAAACATTTGACTGAAATGCTCAATAACACTTGTCATGTTGCTTGTGTTAAATAGCATTTGCTCAGATTAAAGTGCAAGAGATTTGTTTTGTTTTTGTTTTTCTGCACCTTCTAGGTGCCTCTCCTCCTGCTATTCAGTCTCTCCTCTCCCAATAAAGCATTTGTGTATATTATTATTTATATCCTGAGATAATATGTTCTCTCATATCTTTATTTTTTTGTTTCTGGAATGCCCTCCCCAAGTTTGCTCACCTGGAAAATTCCTAAACATCCTACAAGTCTTAGCTCAAACATCACCTCTCCTCTGAAGTCTTACCTGACCAAGAGTTAGTTATTTCTTTTCTTATGCTTCCATTTATGCCTAATATATACTCCCATTTTGGCATGCGTATATTACATCATAATGGTTTGTTAACACATCTATCTCCCTGTTAGGCTATGAGCTTCCTCTGGTCTGGAATATCTTTGTATCCCTAGGACCTAGCATAAAATGTGGCAGATGATTGCTCCTCTGTAATTACTTTTTGGATGAATTAGTAAAGTAATTGTGTCAATACAAAGATGTGCATATGTTGTTTCCTTTTAACTAGAGTTGGAGAGAGATACAAGCCTGAATAGATGAATGGAAAATACTATACTACATATCTAATTCCATATCATAGACTTTCTTAATTTTATAGGAATCAGTTGATTGGGTTGGAGATTACAATGAACCATTGACTGGTTTTTCATGGAGAGGTGGGTCTGAACGAGAGACTACAGGAATCCAGATATGGAGTGAAGTCTTCCTTATCAATAAACCTGATGGTAAAAAGGTATGATGTGAACTTCTTAAAGAAAATGGATTTTTACTTGAAACAGTTACCACTTTTCAGGATCCTCAAAAACTCTCTCTCTCTCTCTCTTTTTTTTTTTTTTTACCAAGTTTAACTTGTAATTTTATTATTATTATTTTAAATTTATCTTTATTTTTCAAAGTATTACGGTGTCCCTCCCTTTTTTCCCCATTGGCACCTTCCTTCCCACCCCTTTCACTGCACTGCTGTCTGTGTCCATTGGTTATGCATATAGGCGTATACGTTTTTCAGTTTATCTCTTCTCATCCCCCACCCCCTTCCCTCTGAGGTTTGTCAGTTTGTTCCCTATTTCCATGTCTATGGATCTGTTTTGTTCGTAAGCTTATTTTCTTCATTATGTTCCACAAATAAGTGAGATTATGTGATACTTGTCTTTCTCTGACTGGCTTATTTCACTTAGCATAATACTCTCCAGGTCCATCCATGTCGACTCAAAGGGTAAGAGATCTTTCTTTCTGGTTTTTGTTTTTAATCCTTACCCAAGGACATTTTTCTGTTTATCATCAGATAGAGTGGTAGGGAAGGAGGGAGGAAGAGAGAGACAGAGAGAGAGAGAAAAAGAGACAGAGACAGAGAGAGGGAGAGAAACATCAATGTGAGAGAGACATATTGACTGGTTGCCTCCCGCACCACCCCAACCAGGGCCGGGGACAAACCACAACCAAGGTATGTGCCCTTAACCAGAATCAAACATGTGACTCATTGGTCCATGGGGTGATGCTCTAACCATTGAGCAAAACCAGCCAGGGCAAGATCTTTCTTATAGCTACATAGTATTCTGTTGTGTAAATATACCACAGCTTTTTAAACCACTCATCTACTGCTGGACGCTTGGACTATTTCCAGATCTTAGCTATCGTAAATAGCACTGCTATGAACATGGAGGGGAATATATTCTTTCTGATTGGTGTTTCAGGCTTCTTAGGATATATTCCTAGAAGTGGGATCACTGGGTCAAAAGGCAGTTCAATTTTTAATTTTTTTGGGCAACACCATATTGTTTTCCATAGTGGCTACACCAGTCTGCATTCCCACCAGCAGTGTATTAGAGTCCCCTTTTCTCCACACTTGTTTGATGATTTGTTGATGGCGACCATTCTGACAGGTGTGAGGTGATACCTCATTGCTGTTTTAATTTGTATCTCTCTGATAATTACTGGTGTTGAGCATTTCCTCATATGTCTCTTGGCCATTTGTATGTCCTGTTTGGAGAGGTGTCTATTCAGCTCCTCTGCCCATTTTTTAATTGGGTTCTTTGTCTTCCTTTTGTTGAGTTGTATGAGTACTCTATATATTTTAGAAATTAACCCCTTATCTGCTGTATCATTGGCAATGATGTTCTTCCATACAGTTGGTTGCCTTTCCATTTTGATGGTTGTTTCTTTTGTTGTGCAGAAGCTTTTGAGTTTGATGTAGTCCCATGTGTTCATTTTTTCCTTTGTTTCTGTTGCGTTAGGGGATGTATCAGTGAAAATTCTGCTGTGTATGATGTCTGAAATTTTGTTGCCTACATTTTCTTCTAGGATTTTTATAGATTCATGAGTCACATTAAGTCTTTTATTTACTTTGAGTTTATTTTTGTGTATGGTGTAAGTTGATGGTCTAGTTTCATTTTTCTTGCATGTAGCTGTCCAGTTTTCCCAACACTGTTTATTAAAGAGTCTGTTTTTACTCCGTTATATGTTCTTGCCTCCTTTGTCAAATATTAATTGAGCATAGTGTCTTGGGTCCATTTCTGGGTTCTCTGTTCTGCTCCACTGGCCTATATGCCTGTTCTTGTGCCAGTACCAGGCTGTTTTGATTACAGTCATTTTGTAGTATAACCTGATATCCACTATTGTGATCCCACCTACTTTGTCTTTCTTTTTCAAGATTGCTGTGGCTATTCGGGGTCTTTTTCGGTTCCATATGAACATTTGAAGTATTTGTTCTAGTTTTGTGAAATATGTGATTGGTATTTTGATGGGGATTGCATTGAATCTATAGATTACTTTGGGTAATATGGACTTTTTAATGATGTTGATTCTTCCAATCCATGAACAAGGTATGTGCTTTCACTTTTTTATATCTTCCTCTATTTCTTTTTTTCAGTGTCCTGTAGTTTTCTGCAAATAGGTCCTTTGCTTCTTTGGTTAAGTTTATTCCTAGGTATCTTAATTTTTTTTTTTGCCACAATGGTAAATGGGATTGTGTTTTCAGTTTCTCTTTCTGTGAGTTCATCATTGGTGTGTAAGAATGCCATCCATTTCTTGACGTTAATTTTGTATTTTGCTACCTTGCCAAATTCATTTATTAATTAGAGTAGATTTTTGATGGAGTCTTTAGGGTTTTCTATGTACAATATCATGTCATCTGCAGATAATGAGAGCTTTACTTTCTCCTTTCCAATTTGGACCCCTTTTATTTTTTTCTTCATGTCTGAATGCTGCAGCTAAGACTTCCAGTACTATGTTAAATAGGAGTGGTGAAAGTGGGCATCCCTGTCTTGTTCCTGTTCTTAAGAGAAATTCTTTTAGTTTTTGCCCATTGAGTATGATGTTGGCTGTAGGTCTTTCATATATGGCCTTCATTATGTTGAGATATGATCCCTTTATTCCCACATTGCTGAGCGTTTTTATTAGAAATGGATGCTGGATTTTGTCGAATACTTTTTCAGCATCTATTGATATGATCATGTGGTTTTTATTCTTCATTTTATTTATGTGGTGTATCAGATTTATTGATTTGTGAATATTGTACCAGTCTTGCATCCCTGGGATGAATCCCATTTGGTCATGGTGAATAATTTTTTTGATGTATTGCTGCATCTGATTTGCTAGTATTTTGATCAGGATTTTGGCATCTGTGTTCATCAGGAATATTGGCCTGTAGTTTTCTTTCTTTGTAATGTTTTTCTGGTTTTGGCATTAGAATTATGCTGGCCTCATAAAACGAGTTTGGAAGTCTTCCTTCTTGAATTTTTTGAAATAGTTTGAGGAGAATGGGTGTTAGTTCTTTTTTGAATGTTCAGTAAAACTCCCCCATGAAGCCATCAGGGCCTGGGCTTTTGTTTGCTGGGAGAGTCTTGATTACCTCTTCAATTTCCTTAGATGTTATTGGTCTGTTCAAGTTTTCTCTCTCTTCTCGGTCCAGTTTTGGGAGACTGTGTTTCTAGAAATTTGTCTATGTCACTTAGATTGTCATATTTGTTGCCATATAATTGTTCATAGTAGTTGTTAACCATCCTCTGTATTTCTGTGGTGTCAGTTGTTACTTCTCCTCTTTCATTTCTGATTTTGTGTATTTGGGTTATCTCTCTTTGTTTCTTGGTGAGTCTAGCTAAGGGTCCATCAGTCTTGTTTATCTTTTCAAAAAACCAGCTCTTTATTTCATTGATCCTTTGAAATTTTTTTTTTTGGTCTCTATGTCATTTATTTCTGCTCTGATCTTTGCTATTTTCTTCCTTCTACTTGCTCTGAGGTTTTCTTTTTGTTTGCTTTCTTATTCTTTAAGTTGTGAGGTTAGACAGTCAATTAGAAATTTTTCTTGTTTCTTGAGGTAGGCCTGTAGTACTATGAACTTCCCTCTCAGAACTGCTTTCACTGCATCCCATAGATTTTGTGTTGTTGTGTGTTCATTTTCATTGGTTTCCAGGAAGTTTTTAATTTCTTCCTTGATCTCCTCAGTAACCCATTCATTGTTTCATAACATGCTATTTAGCCTCCAAGTGTTCAATCGTCTTTGCTGCAATTGATTTCTAGTTTCATGCCATTGTGATCTGACAAGATGCTTGATATGATTTCAATCTTCTTGAACTTGTAGAGATTTAGTTTGTGTCCTAACATGTGGTCTATCTTTGAGAACGTCCCATGTACACTTGACAAGAATGTGAATTCTGTAATTTTGGGGTGTAATTCTCTGTAGCTATCTATTAAGTCCATTTGGTCTAGTGCTTCATTTAGAGTCTCTGTTTCCTTGTTAATTTTTTGTCTAGAGGATCTATCCAGTTATGTCATAGGGGTGTTGAAGGCTCCTGCTATGTTGTATTGCTGTCAGTTTCTCCTTTGAAGTCCTCTAGAAGATTTTAAATATATTTTGGTGCTCCTATATTGGGTGCATATATGTTTATCAAGGTTATATCTTCCTGTTGGCTAGATCTTTTCAATATTATGTAGTGACCTTCTTTGTCTCTAGTTATGGCCTTTATTTTGAACTCTATTTTATCAGATATGAGTATTGCTATCCCAGCTTTTTTTCCCTTTCTGTTTGCTTGGAAGATTTTTTCCATCCCTTCACTTTCAACCTATGTGAGTCTTTTGTTGTGAGGTGGGTCTCTTGTAAACAACATATAGATGAGTCATGCTTTCTTACCCAATCAGCTACTCTGTGTCTTTTTATCAGAGCATTCAGTCCATTTACATTTAAGGTGATTATTAATATGTACTTATTTATTGCCTTTTTTGTTTAGTTTGGTTATATTTTTCTATTTCTTCTACTAATTATATCAGTCCTTTTAACATTTCTTGGAGTACTGGTTTGGTGCTAATGTATTCCCTTAGCCTTTTTTTGTCTGGGAAGCTCTTTATTTGACCTTCTATTTTGAATGACAGCCTTGCTGGATAGAGTAGTCTTGGATTCAGATCCTTCTTTTTCATGACTTTGATTACTTCATGCCATTCCCTTCTACCTGTAGCGTTTCTTTTGAGAAGTCAGCTGATAGCCTTATGGGGGTTCCTTTGTAGGTAACCTGTTGCTTATCTCTTGCTGCTTTAGGATTCTCTCTTTGTCTTTAATTTTTGGCATTTTAATTACTATGTGTCTTGGTGTGGACCTGTTTGCTTTCTTTTTAGTTGGGGCTCTCTGTGCTCCTTGAACTTGAATGCCTTCTTCCTTCACCAAATTAGGGAAGTTTTCTGTCACTATTTCTTCAAATATATTCTCTAACCCTTGCTCATTTTTTTCTTCCTCGGGGACTCCTATGATGCGAATATTATTATGTTTTCAGTTGTCCCACAGTTCTCTTAAGCCGTCTTCTTGTTTTTTAATCATTTTTTCCTTTTGGTTTTCTGATTGGTTGATTTTTTTCTACCCTGTCTTCTAATTCACTGATCCGGTCGTCAGGTTCCTCTACTCTGCTGTTTAGATCTTCCAATGTGTTCTTTATTTCTGATATGTCATTCTTCATTTCTTCTTGGTGGTTTTTAATTTCCAATTGGTTGATTTTCAACATCTCTGTGTCCTTACTCATGCTGTTGAGCTTCCTCAAGATCATGGCTCTGAATTCTAGCTCTGTTAACTTGCTTAACTGCTCCACATTTATCTCATCTTCGGTAGAGGTCTCTTGTTCTTTCATTTGGCTTTTGTTTCTGTGTTTCACCATTTTAGCTATCACAGTGGGCTTTGGAGCCTGCCAAATTTTCCCTGTGGGTGTTGGTGTTCTGCTGTTTGTGGCTCCCTCTCCTGGGTTTGGATGAGCGAGGGAGGACCCACGTTAAACACCACTGTCAAGTCTTACTTTCCTGGTTAGAGTTGCTAGCCCAGGAATGGTACAGTTTTTCTCTAGCTTTTTGCCTGGAGGGTATCTAGTGATCAGAGTGAGCAAAATTGTAGGGACAGTGGAACAGCAGATCAGCTAATATCTAAACATTGTTTCAATGCTGTTTCTGTTATGGTTAAAGTTAATCATCACAGTATTCAGCAGATAGTTAATATTTTTATTTTCTTTGGCATTCATGGCACATGTAAAAAAATAAAGTATTCATTATTAATGGTTTACTTTAGTTCTTATAGTATTAACTTTGTGCTAACCTTAATGCTCACATGTCCCATAAAATATCAGTAATATTCTTTATTGCCTGTAGGTTGCAGTGCTATTGATGGATACTCAGGGAACCTTTGATAGTCAGTCAACTTTGAGAGATTCGGCCACAGTATTTGCCCTTAGCACAATGATCAGCTCAATACAGGTATGGAATAAAATAAATCCACTTTTATGGATGTTTCTTTCACTAAAAATTATGAATATATATACTTATAATATGTGTGTTAGTGAGACAAATGGTAAATCATGTGTATTATTTAGTTCAATTAGCATTCTAGTTTTAATGCTTTCTATAAGAGTAGAATTTTTTTGTTATTGTCATCTCATTTTTGATAAGTTTTCAAATTGCCTACTTTAGTCAGAAATGATTATATTATTGATAATTTTTTCTGTTTAAAGCATGTAATAAACTCAATAATATTAAATCTTATAATATATGTAGATACATTGGGATCACCTGTTATAAGTTTTATTTAAAGAAACAAGATATAGAAATGCAAAATTTTATTTTACATAGCTAGTAGAAATATTTCTAAATGTAAAAAAAAATTTATATGTGTTCACACTTTTTAAAATACCTTAATATACATTTAGGAAAGTAACAGTCTTCTTGTAAAAATTTTTATCTTTCTTTCCTTTCCTTTTTTCTTTCTCTGTCTTTTTTTTAAAGTATTGCCTTTGAGGTAATTGCAGGCTTTATAAGTTGTCCTAAAAGCCCTTTGAAAATTTTACTGTAACCACAGAATACATAGCATAAAAGATTTTAAAACAATTTAAAATTATTTTTTATTTACTGTAAAGAGCAAGAAGAGATAGTAGATAAGAAACAGACTGTTAAAAGAAAGGTAAGATAGTTGTAAAAGGTAGGAAAGACAAAGTGGTTAGGATGAGTAAGTCAAGCCTGAAATTATAAGCAAGAAGAAAAAATGGAACTAGTGAACCAGCAATAAAGGTACATCATATGTAGGTAGGACAACCATGAAAGGATGGATAGAAGGAAAACGGAATTTTTTTTTTATCCTTACCTGAGGACATTTTTGCCTTTGTCTTCAGATAGAGCTGGAGGAAGAGAGAGAGAAAAACATCAATGTGAGAGAGACACATTGACTGGTTGTCACCCACACGACCCAACCAGGGCTGGAGACAAACTGCAACCGAGGTACATGCCCTTAGTGGGAACTGAACTTGGGACTCTCTGGTCCATGGGCTGATGCTCTAACTGCTAAGCCAAACCGGCCAGGACTGCCTGTTTAATATTTATATTTTAACTGAAGACATTATATATATATTTGGTATGTGCCCCTAGCGGGAACCGAACCCGGGACTCTCTGGTCCGCAGACCGACGCTCCAACCACTGAGCAAAACTGGCCAGGGCAAGACATGCAGTATTTTCACTGAAAAAAAATCTAAGTCATTTCAGTAATGACTGTTATTATCTGAGACATGATCTATTTAAAAGTATACCATTTACGCCAGATACAGTGATCTGCTCATGAAACAATAATGCATATGTTTACCGGTGTGAGAATGATATTTAGAACCTAACTTCCATGTGATGAAACTTTCTATAGACACACTAAGATAATCAATTGTGAAGAAGTCAACATAATTATTCAAGACTATTTTATATATGGATTATTCAGATTTAGATTGCCATTATGTATAAAAGGGAGTATTTTATTGACTAATTGTTGAATTAGGTTGATAAAGTAATTTTAATATTCTGCCTCCAGACAGGTAGCTCTTAACATTTCTAGAACTATTTTATGATCATTGTACATTGCTTATTGTCTCTCTAGCTTCTTTAGTCCTTCGTGAAGGTCTTATAAATACCTTATATAAAAATGTATGTAGGAAAGTTCAAATTTGTGATAATTGATAGTTAGGAAAATAGAGAATGACAAAGTGAGTGCTGAGAATGATGCTAATTAACTTTATTTCTTAATCGAGGTATATAACTTATCCCAAAATGTCCAGGAGGATGATCTTCAGCATCTTCAGGTAACAATATATATATATACTCTTTTTGAATATCTGATAATCTTTTAAACATAAACTTCAGGATTTTGTTGGGTCTTCTACTTGGAAACCTTAACAATTCAGAAAGATTTAGAAACATAACCAAATGGACATTGTCCTATTTCCAGGTTTCTTGTCCAGCCTTGTATGGGTATGCTCTTTCTAAATCAGTTTCCAAATTCCTTTGTTTCTGAAAAACTACTTGCTCTTGACCCAGTGTATGAAAATATGTGGCAAATTAGAATGGAAAAAGAATCTTTGGTTTAAAAATGACCTAAAATGTGAAGATGAAGTCTTAAGATCAGGGATTTAAGAATTGCTGGTATATCAGTTGTATGACAGTTTTGTTTTGTTTTTCTTGTGGACCACTTTATACCTAAAACTATGAGGGGCTACTTGATAACTTATAGAATTTTATTTTAGATCTGAAAGAGACCTCAGTGACAACTAATTTATACTTCATATTTTATACATGAGGAAAATTTGGCTGAAAGAAATAAATGACTTGCCCAAATTCTTGTGGCTAATTAGTGGTAGAGTGGGAGTAAAAATATGGTCATCTGACCGGGCTCAGTGCTTCTTCTACTCTCCAAGCAGCATTTAAATCTCAAGTAGAAGATTAGCTATATCCTAAAGATACTTTACTCTCTGTAACACTGCTCTCTTTCAATTCATGTTATATTAGTTACATAGCAAAGCCTATTGTTTCTCTGATAGTTGGTCTTTTTACATTTTATAGAAAATTTTGCTTTCAGTATAATTATCTTGGCAATAAGAGCAATGTACAAATTTAACAGATAACAAAGGATGATAAAGCAGGGTAATCTGTAATGTCAGAAAAATCATTTGAGTTTACAACCAGCATAATTCCCAAATATATTTTTCTTCTTTATTAAATCAGTTATTTATTTATTTATTTATTTTATTCTTCAATTGATCTTAGAGGAAGGAACAGAGAGAGAGAAAGAGAAGAAACATTAATGTAAGAGAGAAACATCAACCTATTGCCTCCCGCACACACCCAGACCAGGAATTGAACCTACAACCTAGGTATGTGCTCTGACCGGGAATCGAACCCACCACCTTTTGGTGCATGGGCAATGCTCCAATCAACTGAGCTATACCAGCCAGGGCCAAAATATATTCTTGTACATCTCACTGATCACTTATGCCAAATAGGCAATATGCCAAATAATTGTTAGATGTTTTTTATAATAAGTACAGTTACTTCTTCAGGCATATACTGTTCAATACCAGTTTTAGGGATTTCTTAAAAAGAACTGAGTTTGGACTTTAATATTGAGTAAATGGTCTTTTTTGAGATCATTAAAAAATTTTCCTGTAAATGACATCTCAGTCTTCCTCAAAAAAGATTGTGAATTCAATTTATGTTAGTAGATCATTCTAATGAGAGTGTTTAACCCCTGGACCAGATTCAATTTATGTTAGTAGATCATTCTAATGAGAGTGTTTAACCCCTGGACCAGCTGCCTTTTAGATATGATATTCCAGATTTTCATTTAATCACTCTAATTCGATACCTAGTAATACCCTTTGCTTTCTAGATTCTCATAGCTCCCACGGAAGAGACAATGTGGTACCCTGGAAGCTATTCTAAAGGGGGAAGGGATGGAGATCCTGTGTATCAGCATTCTTTCCCAGCTCTAAGAAGTCTTGTGGCTTGTTATTCTTGTGTATGCAGTGACATTTCCTGAATACACATGGGGAAATCCTCTCAGCCACTCTGGATGAAACTCATACCAGAGGCCCAGTCACAATCACCCCTTCAGGTCTGTGTTCTCCAAAACCTTCCATTTCTGGCAACACAAAAACTGCTATGGTGCCTCTCAACTGGAAGCAATAAAAAATACGAGATGGCAGTGTATCTGATTTTTCACTTTTTAAGCCAAATGCCTATGTGCCTTTGTAATAATCCAGGCCATTGTGTCATTAAGTGTCCTCAGGCAACAACTTTTATAAATGTATCCTATATAATTCATTGCTTTTTAATCTAATTATGCAAGTTCTGCTCTGAAAGGTCATTTAACATGTTCCTTTCTCCCCATCTTCTCTACAAAAAATTGTCCTATATTCTAGATATAAAAGATGTTAGCTTTGCCCTAGCTAGTTTGGCTCAGAGGTTAGAGTGTCGGCCCGCGGACCAATGAGTTGTGGGTTTGATTCTGGTCAAGGGCATGTACCTCGGGTGCATTTTGTCCCCGGCCCTGGTTGGGGTCATGCAGGAGGTAGCCAGTCAATATGTCTCTTTCACATCAATGTTTCTCTCTCTCTCTCTCTCTCTCTCTCTCTCTCTCTCCCTCCCTCCCTCCCTCCCTCCCTCCTTCCCATTCTATCTGAAGATAAATAGAAAAATATCCTCAGGTGAGGATTAAAAAAAAAATGTTAGCTTTAAAATGGAAAATTTATTTTTACTTTATGTATTTAATTTTAAAATATCTAATAACTGTACTGTTTTATCTAATACTTAGTTCCTTAAAATGATTATTATAATCTTAATAATATAGTATTACCTTACATCTTGAGGAAAAATATGAATAGAAGAAAGCCAAGAAGTAAAACTTTGCAGATACTGAAGTTCTCTTTGTGCACGTGTGTGTTTGTGTGTGTGTGATTTTCCTTCTAGCTTTTCACTGAATATGGCAGGCTGGCAATGGAGGAAACATTCCTGAAGCCATTTCAGGTGAGTTGGGGTTAAAGGATGATAAATTCCTATTAAATTTTCCTGAAGATGATAGCAGGTATTTTAATTAATTGTGAAGGTCTGTTTCTTTCTCTTTTTTATTTATTATTTTTTTAATTTTCTTTATTGATTTTAGAGAGAGAGGAAGTGAGAAGGAGAGAGAGATAGAAACATCAATGAGAGAGAACATCGATTGGCTGTCTCCTGCATGCCCCCCACTGGGGATCAGGCCCACAACCTGGGCATGTGTCCTGACCAGGAATCAAACCGGCAACCTCTTAGTGCATAGGTCGGTGCTCAACCACTGAGCCACACCGGCTGGACTGTTTCTTTCTCTTTTTAAATATTTCATTTAAGAAGCACTTTTGAATACCTGTTTAATGTTATTTGATGCAAGGAGAAGATAGAAATGGGGAAATAAAAATTTAACAAACTTTTTTTTTTTTTAAAGAAAGGAAAAATAAAAGAATGAATGAAATATTTTGGTTCCTGGAAGAATATCAGCTTTTCTACCCTGAACCCAAACCTAGAGATGTCACAAAACAAAATGTATGTTTGTTAAACGTAAAATCTAAAAACAAACAAATAAGACCCCTGGCACAATAGAAGGTGGATACAAACCACAGCAAAAGCTGGCTGAGCACCAGAGAATTTTTGGGAGGTGTCCTTTTCTTTCTTACACATTGACCTGTGGGAACCATTACCTGCTCCGTTACACTGAGTATCAGAAGAACAGCAAAGAGCTCAACCTCTGCTGGGGACAGCAGGATAATATCAGAGCACTATCTGTGCTTGGATTGGGTGGGATAAGTAGATAGTCTGACCCTCTTATATTCTCTTTTGCCTCTACCTCTCTATATACCAAGAACCAAGAGATTATAACAAAGTCAAGCAGCCCTTTAAAACAGTTACCTGGAGGAGGAACAGATTTAAACACCAAATACTGTCTACCCGAAGCATGATAACTTCAGTTTAGGCTTATCAGATGGGACTCAAACTAAGCCTTAGAATCTAACCCCTTCTTTCAGACACACATCACCAGCCAAAATGAACATGTCCTGGGGTAATGTAAACACACAGGAAAACTGAACAACTGATAAAGAGCAAGGTATAATTAATGGCTCAAATGGCAAATAATTTATAATGAGCTATATTAATTATCACTACATAACAAATCATCATAAAGTCATAAACATTTATTATCTCACACAGTTTTTGAGTCTACCCGACTCAGGAATCTATTTGGAGTGACTTAGGCTGGGTGGTTTTGGCTCAGGGTCTCAAGAAGTCTTGCTCAAACAGTTGGCCAGGAGACATCTCTGAAGACTTGACTGGAGGTTCCACTTCTAAGCTCGCTCACATGGCTTTTGGTAGGAGGCTTCAGTTCCTTGCCACATGGACTCTTTCATAGGGCTTCTCACAACAGGCATCCCCCAGAGCAAATGACTCCATTGCCAGAAAGAGTGGCCAAGAGAGAAGCAGCAATCATTTCCAATCTAATCTTGGAAGTGAGGACACCATTAGTTCTGCCAAATTCTATTGGTCATGCAGACTAACCTTGGCATAATATAGAAGGGGCCTAAACAAAGGTGGGAATACCAGGAGGTGGGGATCTAGGGAGCCTTATTGGAGGCAGACTACCATATAAGCATATTAAATATTCTTAAGAAATAAGGGATGAATGTCTTATGTATCCAGTAATAGAAGATTAGATAATTTGGATTAACTTTCTTCCTAACAACAATAAAAATAAAAACCAGAAAATTAAAAATTTGTTTGAATGAATAAGTATTAACAAGATAGTAGAAAATTATTGTGATCATGCCCTGGCTGGTTTGGCTCAGCGGTTAGAGTGTTGGCCCGCAGATGGGAGAGTCCCGTGTTCGGTTCCCGCTAAGGGCACGTATCTTGGTTGCAGTTTGTCCCCGGCCCTGGTTGGGGTCGTGTGGGTGGCAGCCTCTTGATATGTCTCTCTCAAGTCGATGTTTCTCTCTCTCTTTTCCTCCCTCCCGCTCTATCTGAAGATAAATGCAAGAATGTCCTTGGGTGAGGATTAAAAAAAATTGTTGTGATCCAAGGGAAGGTAGAGGCCAATGAGGGAATGCGTATTATTATGTAAACATCAATCAAAAGAAAGCTAAGGTAGCTACATTAATATCAAATGAAGTGCTCTTTAAGAAAAAGCACTAATAGAGTTAAAAGGGTGTTTCTTAATACTACAAGGATGAGTTGTGAGTAAACAAACTGGTAAATATGTAAGCAAAATGTAAACAAACATTATCTATATTTAAATAATTTATAATTTATGGTACTTAAAAAAGAAGGAACCAAAATGCTGTAGAATGTAAGTTTTGGTCCTTGTATCAATGAGGACATTTTTAATATAGTTTAAAAATGAGCAAAACTAAACAGCATATTGTTTAAGAATACATATACAGGACTTCTGGTCAAGATGGCGGCATAGGTAAACGCAGTAATTGTCTTCTCCCACAACCACATCAAAATTACAACTAAACTACAGAACAACCATCATTCAGAACTGCCTAAAATCGAGCTGAATTGAAGTCCTACAACTATGAAATTAAAGCAGCTGCCACATCGAGACTGGTAGGAGGGGCAGAGGCTCGGATAGACTGGTCCCACTCCCACATGTGGTGGATACCTCGGCTATGAAGTCCTCCCTGAGGAGTGAGGGGTCCCTGTCCCACACCAGGCCCCCAGTTCAGGGTTCCAGTGCCAGGAAGATAAATCCCCATAACTTCTGGCTATAAAAACCAGCAGGAACTGAGGCTGAGGGAGGCTGAAACTTCTGAAGTCCCAGACAGTTCCTCTTAAGGGGCCCATGCACGGACTTACCTGGACTCGCTCCCTCCAGGTTCCAGCACTGGGGAGGCAGCTTGAAAGACACCAGAGAAATATGGAGAAGAACTGAGTTGTTTGGCATCGGGGCAAGAGCTGAAAAGGCAGTTTTCTCCCAGATGTGCTGATGGAGAAGGCCATTGTTCTTTTGGTGAGCCCTTCCCCAAAGGGCCAGCAGAGGAGCACCATAGCTGGACTCCAACAACCTGGCTCACACTGGTTGCCCAGCCCTGGTGATTCCCTGAGGCCTTGCCCCACCCAGTTTTTGGGTCCACCCAAGCTGCTTCCAGTGGCTTTACCATAGGAGGGGCCTGTCTTGGCTCCTGCCTCAGATTTTCCTAAATTCTCTCAAACAAGCAGCATCTGGTCTCAGCAAGCCCCATACCTCTCACTAAGTAGCTACAGCCCTGGAAGTAGAAGCAGCCAGCCTTGGTTCTCAGCTTGGCTTTGCCTGGGCATCTCCAAGTCCAGCACAAGAAGCAACCATCTGCAGATAGCTTTGTAGCTTATGCCTGGTGGCTCCAGGTAGAACACAGGCAGTGGCTGACCTTGCCCCAGAGCCAGCACACCCAATAGACAGCTTCAGACCACGTTGAAGCACCACCACCCAACCACCTCCACAAGTGACACACTCAAGAAGTGGACTCAGTGGGTACCAGAGTCCTGCTAAAGTAAGTCTTGCTATGTGTGGTGGGCCCCTGCACAGCTGATTCTCCAAGGTAGTCAGAGGTCAGTGGGCAGTGGGCACAACCAGTTCTTTCAGCTGATCAGCCTGAGTAAATCCACAACAGTGATTAAGACTCAATTATAACAGAGGGGTATACAGTCCACATCAGAGGTGCATGTTAAGGGCCCAGCTGGGGTGATCAGGGAGGTTTGCCACTGGACCTTCAGGACACCAACTATAATAGGCCACCCTAGGAAGCCTAGGAGACATAGCTACTCTACCTAATACATAGAAATAAACACAGGAAGGCAGCCAAAATGAAGAGACAAAGAAACATGTCCTAAATGAAAGAACAGAACAAAACTCTAGGAAATGAACTAAATGAAACAGAGATAAGGAATCTAACAGATGCAGCGTTCAAAACACTGCATGTAAGGATGCTCATGGAACTTTGTGAGGACCTCAAGAGCATAATAAAGGACCAGTCAGAAATGAAGGATGCACTAACTGAAATAAACAATAATTTACAGGGAATCGGTAGTAGAGTAGGAAAAGCCAAGAAGCAAACAATCGATTTGGAATATAAGGGGAAAAAAAAGAAACACCCAATCAGAACAGCAAAAAGAAAAAAGAATCCCAAAAATGAGGACAGTATAAGGAGCCTCTGGGACAACTTCAAGCATACCAACATTCTCATCATGGGGGTGACAGAAGGAGAAGAGAGAGTAAGAAATTGAAAACCTATTTGAAAAAATAATGACAGAAAACTTCCCTAACTTGGTGAAGGAAACAGACATACAAGTCCAGGAAGCACAGAGAGTCCCAAACAAGATGAATCAAAGAGGCCCAGACCAAGACACATAATAATCAAACTGCAAAATGTTAAAGAAGACAAAGAGAGAATCTTTAAAGCAGCAAGAGCCGTGGCCATTTTGGCTCAGCGGTTAGAGTGATGGCCCATGGACCAAAGAGGAGTCACAGGTTCGTTTCCAGTCAAGGGCATGTGTCTTGGATGTAGTTCAGTCCCCGGCCCTGGTTGGGGTCCTGCAGGAGGCAACCAGTCGGTATGTCTCTCTCTCATCGATGTTTCTGTCCTTCCCTCCCTCCCACTCTATCTGAAAATCAATGGAAAATATCCTTGATTGAGGATTAAAAAAAAAAAGGCAGCAAGAGAAAAGCAGTTAGTTACCTACAAGGGAGTTCCCATAAGACTGTCAGCTGATTTCTCAAAAGAAACTTTGCAGGCCAGAAGGGAGTGGCAAGAAATATTCAAAGTGATGAAAAGCAAGGACCTACAATCAAGATTACTCTACCCTACAAAGGTATCATTTAGAATTGATGACTATATAAAGAGTTTCCCAGACAAGAAGAAACTAAAGAAGTTCATCACCACCACACCAGTATTATATGAAATATTGAAGGGACTTATTGAAGAAGATCAAAGATATGAACAATAAAATGACAATAAACCCAC